GTTGCTCCAGAGGCAGCCTCAAATCCTGTGAGCGCACCTGCAGCAGCTTCAGTACCGAATTGCGCAGCAGAGTCTGCGCCGCCTACGCCCGGTCCCGCGCGAGAACCTCGCAAAGATGTTGGCAGATCACGTGGGCCGAAGAGTAATGTTGACCTACGATTGCAATTTGAGAACCATGGTGAAATTCGATACAACATCATACAGAAAAACTTCTTTGCTGTTTGTGCCCTGCACGGTCATGATTGCAAGCGGAGCCGTGCTTCAACAGAAGCTGCAGCAAAGAATATCCTGCGCAACCCTGGTCAGGGCAGGCCACTAGGACTCCTTGCGGCGTGGCTGATGAAGGGAGCGCGGCACAAAGACTCTTTCAGTCACAAAAACTGCATGTCCACGATCGCCCGGTCAGAGCGTGTGGATGCCAGGAAACTGTTAAAGACATTACCTGGCTTTCATGAATTCAGTGAGCTCGAACGAGCCAAATTCTCTGGCGAAGATAGCGAACCAGATGACATTTTGTAACCATAGGTGAGGCGTCATAGAACTAGCCCGCGCAAAAAGATTTGTTTCGCAGCGCTCCACAAAGCCGTGCGCGTGCTTCAGACGTGTGTGCAGTCTAAATATTCTAAATCACAAGTTGTGGTTTGCGTGCATTTGCATTGCGTCAGAGTCGTCAAGTGCGCTTCCTTGGCCAGAGCGCTCCCCGCAGGATCTACATTGTGTTCCTCAGGAGGGACGTCTACACAGCAGAGGATGCCAAGTCCTTTGTGTCCATCATGAAGGCGTGCAGGGTACTTGAGTCTCACACAGGCAGATTCTAGCTGTAGCTGCAGCTAGTGCGATGCTTGACGCAACAGATCTCTTTGCAGCAGATGACTGTAGGTGGACAGGACAGGTCGGATAGGCCCGCGTAGCCTCATGGTGTCAAGGCTGTGCTGTGAGGTATTGTAGGAAGGCTTTTCCGGAGTTGACGTTGCAGACTTTTAGACCACTAAGGACTAGGACTAGGACCAAGACAATGACCCACTGAAAGAATTTGAATATCAGATTACATATCAGATTTTGTTTGAGCGGGGTGTGACATGAACTCAGCAAGACCGTTGCAGCCGACGTGAACGGTTAACAATGGTGAGCGGACATTTTGCTTTGAGTTTTCAGACATGTGCCGATGCAACTGAACAGGCAATCCTCGACTACCAGTCCTCGCAAGATCCCGTCAGTTTGGACAGCTTGCTGCTTTCTGAACACGATCCGAGGCGTCAGACGGCTCTTGAGACCAAGGACACTCGAACTCGTTTTCGAAGTGGAGCCGTTCTGGATCTTTTTTTTGCTCAAACGTTTTTGGGGAAAGACTGACCAGTGTGACTACTTGGGCCTCCTTGTCAACGTGCTTGGTTTCTCTTTTTTTCTGTGTTTGGTTGAAAGTTTAAAGTTTACGTTCAAGGGTCCTTGCCAACGTGTTTCTTCGTTTTTTTGTGCACCTTCATTCCCTCCCCCCTCCCCCCCACCCCTCCCCCATCCCCCCCCGCGCCCCCCTCCCCCCCCTCCCACCCCTCCCCACGACACCCCCCCGCCGCCCCCTCACCCCCCCCCTCCCCCCACCACCCCTCCTCCCCCCCGGCCACCCCCCCTCCCGCCCCCGGCGAAACCCCTACCCTGGTTTGTTTCTTTTTATAGTTTCTTTTTTTGGTTTTCTTTTTTGTTTTTTTTTTTTGTTTTTTTTTATTTTTTTTTTTTTGTTTTTTTTTTTTTTGTTTTTTTTTATGTAGTGAGAAGGGAGTTTCTGTTTGGGTTTCATGTCTCCATGTGGATTCCACACGCGGCCCATACCCCTTGGCCCCACCAGCCCCCCCCCCGACCCCCCGTCCCCCGGACTCCCCCCCTATTCCCCCGCCCCCCCCCGCACCCCCTCCCCCCTCCCCCCCCCCTACAACCCCCCTCCCCCCCGCCCCAGCCCCGCCCCCCCCCTCCCCCCCACTCCCTCCACCGGTCCCCCCACTCTCCCACCATCCCCGCCCACTGCTGATAAAGACTTCTTCCACACTTCCCGTCAACAAATAGAGTCCAGACCCCCCCCTCCCTCACTCACTCTCCCCCCGTCTCCCTCCCCCCCTCCCCTTTGCACTTTTCCCGCCCTTCCACCCACAGTCACTAACAGCATTAGCAGGCCCTAATCCCAGCCCCTTCGACTTATAGGTTAACCGTTTCGTTTTGTGCCGGACATGGATGGTTTTTCGAGAGTTGACATGAATTTGTCAACACTCATGCGTAAACTGCGTGTATGACTCTGCATACTATACACGAATTCTGGTGATGATGATGATGATGGTGATGGTGATGGTGACAATGATGATGGTGATGGTGATGATGATGATGATGATGATGATGATGATGATGATGCTGATGATGGTGGTGATGATTGTGGAGGTGATGATGGTGATGATGATGATGGTCATGATGATGATGACGATGATGATGATGATGCTGCTGATGATGATGGTGATGATTGTGGCGGTGATGATGGTGATGATGATGGGGATGACGACGATGATGATGATGATTTTGTTGGTGGTGCTGATGATCATGATGCTGATGATGATGGTGATGATGATGATGCTGATGATGATGATAATGATGATGACGCTGAAACTAGACTAGATGAATGTAGATTCTATACGATTCTATACACTAGGGACATACGCACGGGACATGATATCTGTATATATCGTACATCCATATGCACATACCGTATACCATGTGCGATAAGTTTTGTGCTATATACAATATCACAGAACCATGCAGCAATACCTGTATATGCATATACGATATGATAATGGTAGCGCTGGGTTGTACAAACCTACATACATACACAAGATAGTCTAAACATATGACATAGGGTTTAGCGCCTGTAAGCCCTTTGGACCCTTGTTTCCTTTCCCCTGCTCGTTTGATTTCCAGTTTTCTATAGTTCTGAGGTTAACAGCGGAAGTCAATTGAAACTCCTCCTTTGTTTGTACTTGACTTAGTTGTTTAGCCTCGCCCCTCACTTTGGCTACGGAGGAGAATGTGAATCGCGCAAGTGATCCTCGGCGCTCAAAAGTGCCTGAATGGACGTTGCAAAGCAATCGCTGGCGGGAAGCGTTGAAAGTTTCCAGCAGTTACAAGCCGTGGACTGGGCAGGCTGGCTTCAAGGGTCAGGGCTTGTCCAAAACGGAGCGGGTGCTTGACTTGCTGGATTGCATCGCAGCCCAAATTACCAAGAATGTGCACCCCAAGACGGCCAGCAACATTGCCAGCTCCATGAGGGGCATTTACGCCGATGTGTCCCAAAGTCACTCACGGAAGGTCTTTACATCTTCCTCCTCAAGCGTGACGCCCACGCTTACGACATCGACCGATTTGTATAGCTACACCCGGGATAGCATCATAGTGCCATATGAACGCTTACTGCTTCATGGCCATCCAGATTCAACACGGGTCCCTCGTGAGATGACATTCTCACAGTTGAAGCATTTGGCGGGGGAAGGCATGGCAGTGCCCTGCATAACCAGTGTCATTTGGGCACTGTTCGTTCTCAAGCAGTTTCCATGACTTGCTATGATGGCGCAAGAGCGTGCAACATGCTTTGCCCATCAAAAGATCCATCCCAGCACAGTGCAAAGGTATGTACGGATGAGCCATGAGCAATGCTGCTAATTGGCTGGCAGCTCGTTGGCAACCCTTGATACTGATAACTGATACTGTTTTTTCCCCCACAAGGCCCCGTTTCGCAATTTGAATTTACGCCTCTTCGTTGTGTTTCAATATTCAATAATTATTCAATAATTATTCATCGCTTTGGGAGCCCTAACAAACCGGTGCTGTTTTTTTCGTTCAGTGGCACGCAAAGCGTGCGCCGACACCTAAGGGGTTGTGTTGCGAGTTGCCAGCTCTGCGAATGTTTTTTGCATTCAACAGATCTCAATAGAGCCGAGGCGGATGAAACAAACACACGTTTGCCAAGCGCGCTTTGACACAGAGCCAAATATAGCTTGTTTGACGCACGTGCTCCATTTGCCTTGCCAAGGTTTTGTGGCCGGCTAGTAACTAGTAGCTGTCAAGCATGATGCAGCACATTGACCACAGCAAGCTTGACAGATTCCGGTTACGGGTTCGCGTTTGTCTGACTTTGACAGCTGGCATGGCGCCAAAGAAGGCTGGGTCTTCAAACGCTTTAAGCTATTTTCCAATACTGTGGGATTTCTTCATAACGAATGGTTATGTTTGGTTGATGGGCTTGTTGGGGACCATTCATTAGTCATCATTAGTCATTAGTCATCAATCGTTTCAGTCGTTTTTTTCTTCTGGGCTTAGCAGTAGCAGGGATGGCTGTTGGGCCTGCCTGATAGCAAAGATTTCGCACTCCTGTTTTCTCTGCCTGTCAGGCGGGCAGAGGGAAGCGCAGGCAGGACAACGTTGACGAGCGCCAGCATGCTGGCAGCGAGATTGTGCCCTACACAGGCCCGCCCAGTCACAAGAGGAGGCGAGGCAAGACTTCCGACCGCACCTGCTTTGCGTGCGAGGCAATTGAAAAGGACTGACCGACCAACTATTGACAAAATCCTTGCTCTCGTTGCGTTGCTTTTGTCCTGGACCATCTCGTTGGCAGCGAGGGTTTAGTTTAGACTGACTGGGGGAGTAGGAGGACCGGAGCAGGACAGTTTAAGCAGCTAGCTTCCTTTGCAGATTTTGGCCCGCTATAGGACGCAGTGTTTGCAGATGACGATGCTCTTGGAAACCAGATCGACGATGGCTGTCTCAACTGCGTGGAGGTTGTTGCCAGGGTTTGGCCGGGAATGAGTTGGGCTGACCACTGTAGCAAGCAGTTCAACTTCACGAGCAGACTTTTGCAGAAAGGTTTTGTTGGGACCTTACGGCCTTAGGGAAGTCCTTTTCGAAGCCTCTCACTCACTACTGAACTACTTGGTTCTCTTTGAAACTTGCGCTCTTCTCACGAAACCTAGGCTCGGCGATAGCCGGGAGCACGCGTCCGAGTTCAAGAAGGCGAGAAACATCCACGTTGGTGAGGACGACCGTGACTTCGTTACTCCCGCTGACGTGCAGAGCTCCGAGCGACGAGGCCTCGAAGTGTATTCGGAGGTGGGCCTCGTCAGCGAAAGTGAGTTTCAGCGGCTGGTCGGCTGCCTGCCTTCAAGCCTTGGCGTAAAGGCGCTTGGCCAAGAAAAATCCAATAACCCAAGACGGTTCACTCCAACCAACGAGGAGGGGCAAGAGCAGAAGTCGCTGCACTTGCTCAGTTTGGAGGGGCTTTCCTGCTGCGAGATCCACAGCATCAGGAAGGTAAAGCTCTACTGGCAGGTCAACTTGCAGATGACAGAGGCCCTCCTTGAGCAGGCCGGCCAGCTTTCAGATCTTCACCCTCACCGCGTCTACCAGTACAACCAGAAGACTATGCTGGAGACCTTGCCGGACGGGCTCAGGGCAACAGGGAGGCTCAAGTTGAACACAGTTGCTGCTTTGCGGGAGAAGCACGCGTCTTTGCAAGCGGCACGCCAGTCCAAGGAAGTCGCGGATCCGCTCGAGGATGGCGACGCGAGTGCAGGTGAGGACAGCCCCCTGGCCAAGAGAGTGGCGCCTTCGATTGCAGTCTCGAAGTTTTCCCGGCTCTCACTCCCTACCAGTGCCGCATCCACTGCCGCGCCTTCTACCACATCAAAGCGTTCCACAAAGAAAGCTGCAGGTGCAGATGACGTCTACTTGGCGAGCACCGAGGACCTGGATACCGTCATGCAGTCGCTAGACCCCGACATGGCTAAGGTTGCCAAGGTCTGCAAAGGGTTCCCGCGCGCCATTCCGGCGTGCCTTTCCCAAATGAATGTGGGGCGGATTCTCCTGGGGGAGAAACTCGGACGGTCGATTGCTAAGGCCGGGCGTTCCTTGAATTGCGTGCGAGAGACCTTTCTTTGTGTTTGTTTTTGCTATGAACTCAGACTCGAGTGAGTAATCTGACCAGACTAGACTCGACAGACATGACTGGTGACTGACTGTGACTCGACTAGCATCCTTCGCAGAAAGTGTTGATTTCGGGTAGGTGATTTTGTTTTTGGTTTGGCTTCCACCTGTGAGGCAAAAGACTTGGCTGCCAGCATCAAGGACCAGAAAGAAGGTATCATCCTTCAACACCGCATTGAGGACTGTGAGCAGGCCGCAGCTTTGTGCAGTCCCGGCATTTTACGCTTGCCCAAGAGGGACCTCCAGCTCAATCTCAAGCGGATGCAGCGTGGCAAGCATGACCTTCCCGTGCCGTTGCAGCTCCAGGCAGCCCTGCGTTCCATCTCGGACAAGACCCAGGAGCTGGTAGAGGCGCCCAGTCTGTCAGCCAAGACAACGATTGCAGACGTGGTCGACAAGCTGTGCTTTTGGCGAGCCTTCCTCCAAATTGATGATCAGGAGTCCATGTCATTTGATGTCTTGGAGCCTTCCTTTGTGGCGCTGGCTGCAGCCTTGTCTGACACCTTCACGGGCATGGCTCTTGAGGACTCAGAGCCCAACGTCGGGGAGTCCAAGGAGAAAGGGTGGGAGGCGGGCCACTTTGTTGAATCTTGACTACTTAGCTGATTGAACATGTTTGGCCATCAATCCACCAAGTGATGCAGGGGGAGGGTTTGGTAGCTAGCAGCTGGTGTAAATTTAGCAGAATGATGTTGCGAAGCTACATTCAGATGTCATCTGTGTTTCCCAAAATTATAGTGCGGTCACACTCCTGGCGCAGGCGTTTGCCACGTCCATCAGCGGCGCCCTTGGCAACGATGCTTTCTTCCAGATGGTGCAGTGTCCCAAGAAAAACCCAGCGCTGCAGGAGTTGTGCGAAGGGCTGCTAAAGGCCTTCATGGAAGATGGTGCCGACTCCATCGAGTACCCGAGCCCCCATTTGAAGGAGGCCGCGCTGCGGGTCAAGCGGGCAAGCGGGTGCATTGTTTCCTTGCTTGTCCCAGTTGCTGGCCACTGTGGTTCATCTATCGAGGATGTCTTTCACATTACCGGCTACGAGGGACAGGACATGCTTGAGTCCACCCTTGCGATGAGTGTGCAGAGCGTCGAGCAATGGCAGGTCCTGGTGGACGAGACGCTCAAGACAGCTGCCAAGACCAAGCAGCTGGCGCCAGAGGTCCACTTTTTGCAGGAGCAGTTGGAGAACAGTTCAGAGCCGTGCGAAGTTGACGAAGCCCTCCGGCAAGCACTCGCACAGCTCAACAACTACAAGGCCTCTCTCCGTCAGGGTGCCACTCGATCCCTCGAAAAGTTGCTGTCAAACCGGGTGAAGTTGGTGGCCAAGCAGATGATGTCCAAGCCAGCAGTCTCCTTGAAACCCGAGGACGTAGATCTTCTCACTCGAGGCATTTCCTACTTCCTGGCTGAGGAGGGCATGGCTGACTTCCAGCGCGAGTTTGAGTCATTCAAGGAGTCCATTGCTTCCGACCTTTCCCTGAGTAGGCTTGAGGACTTTGCGCAGTCAAACCTTGACCTCCAGCAGTTTGACAACCACTCGCAGCTTAGTGTCTTGCTGCATGAGACCGAGGGCCAGCTCTACTCAAAGCAGCTCATCGAGAAATTGCAGCAGCTTTGCTGCGTGGCATTCCAGGTTCTCGACAGCCAGGCCGGTCCATTTTTCAAGTTCAGCCTTGGGATTTAGCCGACTTAGCCGCTTAGTCAGTCACGAACCTTTCTAGGAAGTGTTGCGTAAAACCTGCTGGGTGGCCGTTTGGACTTTTGTTTTAGCTAGCCAGCTAGTTTTGAGCTCTGAACGTGTTAGTCACTGTTAGTCTGTTGGTCACTGTTGGGTTATTCCTTGACTCTGTTAGTCACTCACTTTGCCCGGACGTTTGGCTGGCAGGTGGATGCGGGAGAGGCCGGCGGGATCCCAGATGCGCAGCTCACCACAATCCGGGCTCTGGTCACTGCTGCTTTTGCCTCAGAGGTAGCTGCAGCAAAGCTGCAGGCTGAACTCGATTTGCTCAAGCAAGGGCTGGCAGTGAAGGCTGCAGAGGCCAGATTCCTTTCGTTTGGCAAGACGACCAAAGACCGGTTGGACAAGGACAAGGGGGACTCCATCCTCAAACAGATCTTTGCAGCTCGCGGCCCTTTGACCAAACTGCAGACGAAGACCGACGATGCCGGATCGCTCCCCCAAGTTGAGGCTTGGGCTGAGGACCTTGACGATGCCAGCTTCCCAAGCTTTGGCCGGCATTTTGATTGCCTTCCCGTGGCCATCAGCGAGGCTTACCTGAAAAAGGTCTCTTTGCTCAAGGAGGAGTTTGTGGCTTTGGATGAGACTGCAGGTGAGGTTTGCAAACAGCTGCATTGCCCTGCGCAGTCCTGGAAAAAGTCCATCAGCCCAACAGCCACCCTTGCTGAAGTCGAGAAAGTCGCCCAGGGCAGCATCCTGAAAGATGACATCTCCGGGCCAACCATCATGAAGATCATCCAGCAAGTTGAGAAGGCGCGTTAGCTAATCATGGGCATCTGGTTCCGAGTGATTCGGAGCCCTCTGGTTGTCTCGAATTTGTGGACCCCGGACTTGAAACTTGACACCGTTTGCTTTTCCTTCGAAGGGGTTGACGGTTGATGTAGGGACAGGGCTCGACACGGCAGACTTTGCAGGGTTTGTTTCGACACTTTATTTAGTAGGTTCATTAGGTTAGGAGGTGTGCCAAGCAGCATGGCAGACTTCCAAGGATTGGACATGGACTGGAGACATGACTCATCTCGACTCTTGACATGGACACGGGAGACTTCTAATGACAGGGGTAGGGGCATGGCCAACTTCAACTTCCAAGATCCCAAGGGTTTTTTGTTTCCGGAGGACTGCCCTTGTTATTCTGGTTACTGTCACTGTCATTGCATTTGGGACGGCAAACTTCCAACACAACACTCACCCTTGACGGGGCGCCTGGTAGACTGGTAGACTCGTAGACTGTTGCCCGATTACCCGACGATTACCCCGTGACTCGCACGACAGGCGTCTGCCTCGATGAAGGAGTTCCAGATGGTTTCTCGTGGCGTGGTGGGGCCAGATGAGGATGAGATGGCCGACCTTTCCAAGCAGTGCGAGATGTTGCTGTTGCAGCTACGGGTCTTCAAAACAGAAAGCTGCGTGTTGGCCACTAAGTTTCTGAAGACCAAGGATGCCATTAAAAGGGTGATCCGCAAAGAGTTTGTTGACATTTCCAATGGGAAAATCCCTGAACAGCAGTTGCTTCCCCAAGTGCTCAGCAAAGCTAGGGCGCTCCTTGAGGACAAAGCCAAGGAACCGTGATTCCTGTGTACACTGTACAGTGCAATTGCTGTGGTTTTTTTGAGCACGGCATGATGTGGAGCAGGCAACGCTGCTTATTTCGATCGTTCCACAACAACTTCTTGGCAGCTGTTACGCAAAGTTGGTTCACTCATTCATTTATTCCCCTGTGACACGGTTTCCAGACCACGTACCACCTAGTGTGTAGCAACAAGAATCGGCAATGCCTTCGCTCTACTTTGGCCATCACGGCCCACGGCAATTGAGCACAAACCGGCCACCACTGGCCCGACTGCTGGGTAGCGGCAGGATGAAAACCAGCTTAGTAGCTTGCCGCTTTGTCGTACAACCTGACAGTGATTATCAGCGATTCAGGACTCAGCATGGCACTCAGAATGGGGTCAAATTTGATGTGTGTGTGTGCGCATTTCCGGAGATGTTGATGTTGTGTGTGAGTGGTGTTTTGTCGGTGTTTCACTGTTGGCTTCCTGTTGTTGTTGGCATGTGCTGGTTGCATAGTTCTGTCCCTTTGCTTGGTGTGTGTGTGTGTGTGTGTGTGTGTGTGTTTGTTTGGTTTTTTTCCAGGCTTTTGCGTGTGTTTGGCATG